TAGTCTTTCCCAATAAATTTCACTCACATGTATATTAACATGATTGAAAAGGCAATGAAATCAAAAAAGTGTAGTATGAATCTTACTTGGCATATTCTTCAGCCAGATCTTTCAATCTTGTGAAGGTAGCCTGTGAAGCTGGCATGCTTACAATAAATGGCAAACCTATAGAATGCTTGCCACCCTTCTTGCAATGCCTCTTATGTGCTGGCCAGTGTCGTTCCTGGCATTTCCTGGAAAAAATAAATAAAGACCTATATGTAACAAGTATTTCTGTCATCATGTGACTGGACAACTTCATGTACGTGCATAAATGGGTAATCCACAACCGGCAGAACGAAACCTGGGATTGGATGAACAAACAATGAATGGTGAGATAAAACAAAGAACGCAGCTCACATGTAGAACAATGCACCCTGTGCACCATAATCCATACTTTCTTTGTTTTTGTTATTTTGTCCAATCCCAAGCTTCGTTCTACCAGTGGACACCGACCCGCATGAATGCCTGGAAGGGTGTTTAATCTAAGTAAATTCAGCTCATTGTTAATGAGATGGCTTGAATTGCTGATCTGATTAAATAAATTGTCCTTGGTTTACTTAAATAGCCAGTGGCTAACAAATCTGTGGCCCTTACTACATGACTGAATTGAAAATTAGAAATTGATTTTTTTGTGAAGGAAGGAAAACCAGAGAACCCAGAAAACCCTTAAAGCACAGGAGAGAACCAACAAACAACTCACATACAACACTGAGTCCGAGAATCAAACCCGAGTCACATTGGTGGGAGGAAAGTGCTCTAGCTAGAGAGTAATACCTGTCGCAGTAGCCAATAGCATAACATCCAAGACATCTTTTCAGCGGATCATTGAGATCTTCATTTTTGAAGCAGTCAGCACAGTGAAGTGGGATAGTGAGAGGATACAACAGTCTCTGTGGTTAAAAATACACCACGTCAAGCATGAGTCAGAGTACATTGTAGGTGCCGTAGATAATACATGTCTAAGATGACATCCTTTGAGCTAATGAAACTGTGCAAGATATTTGCCTACTCTACCAAAAGATACACCATGAAACATATATCTTCARATAGTGCAATCCTTACCTGTATGACAGGCACTATATACACCTCTTCTCCAGCTTCTTCTATACTCAACAYTTCAAAACTGAAAGAACAAAATGAGGGGTTTTACATGTGTGCAACACACTATAAACACATCACACTACTGAAAAACAACCCCCTCCCCCCTTGAAAAAAAACATTAGAAATACATGTAACACTATTCATAAATTAACAATGAAATGAGGCATGTGAGCAACAAACTACGCCATCACACATCACGCTACTGAAATACACCCCCAACTTCCCCTCACCCCCTCCCCCTATTCATAATTCTTTATATCTGGAAGTAAGCTCCCCAGACCATCAATCCTACCCCCAAAGTAGTACCAGATTAGGACTTACATAAAAATGTTATCTGAAGAAACTACATTGGCCAGGCTGCTTCCTCTTTCGAAAAATTTGTGAAATTTCCCCTGGAACTCCTCAAAAACTCTCATCTGCAAGACCAAAGGGATAAAAACATGTATTCAAAATATACATAAGCAGAATACAAACTAGAATTATCCTTATTATTTTCTTACGTTTTCTTCCATGACTCCAGTTTTCTTTTCTACTCCTGATGTCAACTGCTCTAGGTTTGCTTCTTGTGCGACTTTGACAACCAACTAAAATAATAGCAAATTACCAGTCAATGTTTAAACTTTTAACTAAAATAGTGACAACAACAATTACAAATAATAAATTGTTTCCGTGTAACATCAAACTGTAAACAAATAGACTATTTCAAATTTGTTTGAGTGACAATGAAACAATGGCTTTGAAAATGATTTACTGTATTCATTGGTAAGTGATCAAGTACAATCTAGTTCAACTTAGAACCAAAAAAAAAATGTTTTGGAAAGATGTATCATATACTTCAAAATTGTTCTCCTGGGATTGACCTTTTAGTATTACATAAATATGATTATAGTTTTAATCCAAGATTCTGCAGTGTTACATGTAAATACTGTGCTTTTTTCTAAGCATAATAAAGCTGCTATTAGAAATATATGTACCTTCATGGGTGTTCTTGATGGGTCTTTGAAGAATACTATGACATTGAGAAGTTTTTGTTCTTTTGGAAGTGGGACTGAGAGGTTCATGAATGGATCAAACTTGATAGATATCTGGAAAACATAGGGTTAAAAGTATATAAAGTGTAGTAAGTTATTCTGATATAGATTGAATAGATGTRTGTGGAATGATGAATTGGATGAATGAATGGATAAATAGGATGGATGGGATATCAATTTTGCTCAATTTATAGGTCATAGAATGCAGAAGGGAGGGATGCATGGATGGATGGAGAAATTAATAAACATATGGATAATTTAACTGTGATGTAATGTAAGGAGTGAGTGACTGAGTGAGTGAGTAAGAGAGTGAGTGAGTGAGTAAGAGAGTGAGTGAGTGAGTGAGTGAGTGAGTAAGAGAGTGAGTTAGTGAGTGAGTAAGAAAGAGAGTGAGTGAGTGAGTGAGTGAGTGAGTGAAAATAATAATCACATAAAAAGCTAACAAAATCTCGGAACAAACAAAGATATATCAGATCTAAAGATATACTAGGTACCTTTTTGCACACAGGACAAGTTAACTTGGACTTAAGTTGACCCTGGAAGAGATCCACTATGATTGAATCATTCCTTCTCTTGTACCTGGACCACGCTTCATCTGCCACTTCATGGTCAGGTCTGCTGCCTCCCTCTACTTCCTCTGTGTAGGGCTTTATTCTAATGCGGTTCATATCCTAAAAATAAAAAATAAATTAAAAATTAACTAACTAATTTGCTAGTGATGTAGTATTTTTGGGTAATAGTGAATAGAGAACAATCTGCATCATACGGTACGTGGTTGGTACAGAAACTCAGTTTGTTGACCATTTATAACATTACCTGAATGTTATCTTACCGCTACCTTACTGTCACCTAACTGTTACCTTAACGTTGTGAAATGTACATGTAATGTATGAAATAATTACCTCATGTAGTCCATCGAGAAGAAATGCCATAAACTCCTGAGCATCTTGCTGCATAAATCCCTTGAA